CTTCGTGAAGTATTTTACTCCCTAGATCCGATCTTGGATCTTGTGAATTAAAGATAATAAGTATCGGTCCTTGATAGTAATCGAATTTAGATATCGATAATCTACATAAAGACGTAGATTTCTATCTTTCTTTAGAACGAATAGGATCGGGTATCCTATTAGCGAAGTTGATTTATAGATATAATCTTTCTTTAGGTTTTCGTTAATATATTCTCTTAGTATCTAAGACTCCTTCTCGGATAGCTAGTAAATTAGCTTAATAGTAGGTTCTTTACCCTCTACTATATTAATCTCGTGGTCGAATAAGCTATACTCTAGTAGTACCTTATCTATTGGTTTCGTAAAAACATCCTCGAAGTCTTAATATTCTTTTAGGATTTATGGTTTCTCGTTAGTAGTATAGACCTACTTTATTTTATACCCGATTATAACGTAGTCTTGTAGTTTATTATCTATTATATCTAATAATTATTTAGTAGTCGTGATAACGCTAATATCGTATATCTATATTTTATTTTTCTGGTATTGTCCTATAATCTTACCTCTAGGACTCTTTTTAAGTTCTCTTTCGTAGGGACCCTATATATCGTGGTACGCGTTGATTAGTAAAATAGCCTCGTTTTAGGGCCGAGAGCTTTCTTTAGGTTCTTCTTCGTAGGAACTCTATTAGATATCGGTCTCTCTATAACTCGGTTCCTTTAGTCGTATTGTTAAATTTTTTATAGTCTAAGTTTTATATACCTCTTTATATAGGTATTTATCGAATTCGATTTTTCCTATCTACTAATTAATCGTTGGATTGTGCTTCCGTAACTAGGGTACTCTAAGAACTATATTATATTCCCCTAGTTCGGTGATATCGAAGTTAATTAATTTAAAATACTCGTAGATTATTATTAGGATATTTCCGTTTTCGTGTGTAATTCCTAGTCTAAGGCTTTCCCCGTTAAGTCCTTAAATCGGTATCGGTCGTGGCTTCGCGTAGCCCTAAATTTATATCTATTACTAGTATTAGGGGTTTATAAAGTTACCTACGGCTCCCGAGTTAAATATCGCTTTAGTCGCTTAAAAGAGGATACTAATATTAAGCTTTATATATCTTCCCTATACTATTGCCGCTATCTGCTATCGCCCTTCTAACTAGTTATTAGTACCTTATTCGTAGATTTTCTGTCTGTTGATCTATGTTCCGGTGAACTCTGGTTTCTATCGAGGTTTCTTTATCTAATTTAAGGATCGCGGCTTGATACTATAATCGAGCTTGCCTTAGTAATAGATTAAGCAAGTATTATCGTAGTATATAAATATTAATATATCCTGGTGGTCTAGGTATTGTATATATCCTTTGTATACGTATTATGGGTTTAGATAGGGGTATCCGAGTTTTTTGTTGAGTCGAGCTATTAGTCGTTAAAAGTCCTTATTGTATATGTTAACGCTTTTTATCTATTAGAGTTACTATATCTTTTTAAGTAAGTCTTTACTTTCTTAGGGGTCTTCTTAAGGCGATTCCGGAGTCTCCTAAGAAGTCTCCTAAGGTTTAGGCGTTACTAGAATTTCGATCGGTGTTTCTAAGATACTATATCCCTAGCTAGAGGATTCTTTTGATAGATCTAGCGAGTTATCGTTCTTCTAGGGACTATTCTAGATCTATCCTTAACTCTTAACTATTTCCTAATTAATCTCTAGAAAACCTTCTAACTCTCTTTTTAGTTAGGTATACCGTCGTTAGCGAATTCCTTATGTATAATAAATATATCTTCGCGTCTTAGGACCGGTATCTACGCGGTACTTAGGTTCGAATTATATCTAGTTACTTTATAGTCTTCGCTAAGGGATTCCTCGTTCTAGCGGTCGTTATTCGTTACGTAAAGTTGCTAAGCTAGTACTCCGGTAGTATTATAAGCTCCTTTATCCTATATAGCTTGTAGTTGTTATCGCTGATTACTATTATCTAATACTTTTTTATAGTAATCCTTGATCTAATAGCCTGGCTTACTATAATAGAAGCAAAGATCCTTTCTTTTATATTCTTCTTATTCTTTAGTTAGAAGTCTCGCTGCGTCGAGCTCTATAGGTCTTAGTCTATAAGGGTTATTATCGTATGATTCCTTTACTAATTACTGCCTTTGTCCTCGTCTACTGTTGTGGCGGCGGAATCCTCGTGGGATATATCCGGTGCCGTTCTGTTGTGCTTTACGTCGTTATTGTCTATATTTATAAAGCTAGTTGTCGAATTTGACTGTTATCTTAATTATCCGGGATAGGTCGGTTGGTCGATTAATTCTTATAAGTTCGTCTTTAATTTCTTCCTTAAGTCCTCGTTTGAATAGCTAAATATATATATCGTTATTATAATCGAGATATAAGATGATCTACTAGAATTCAGCGGCGTAAATATTAGCTAAGCTGGTTTATCGGATCCGTTTAAGTTGTTACTCTATAGTTTATTATATATCGATATCCCCGAATATCTATTCGAGTTTTCTTTTAAAGTTAGTATACGATTAGAAAATCGCTTAAGTCACGTCTCCCTAATCTAGTTATCTTTTCTCGTTAAATTCCCTAATATAGGGCTCGAACTAGTTAAAGGCTTATCCTTAAAGATAGGTTGAAGCGTAGATAACCTTATCCGCTTCTTCTATATAGTTAATAATATATAACTATATATCTATTTAGGTCAGGAATCCTTAAAGCTTAGATTAAGTTCTATCGAAGAAGTTAGGTTTCAGTAGTTTTATAGACGCTGCGGGTCTAGTTCTCTCCTAGATAAGTTACTCTTAGAGCTAACTAATCATATTTATGAGTTACGCGTTGGTCGGAGCAGATTGGCTCGCGGAACCACGCGAAAGGTTGTTAGCACTATCGTTGCCGGCTATAGTTATCGAAGTGTTAACATCTTGTATACTATGATTTAAGACGGGCGTTTAAAGTGTTACGCACTAGTTACCTATAGATATTAGCTAGAACCTAAAGGTATATTTCTCTTAAGATACTAAGACACATAGGTCTTTCTAGTTATACTAGAAGGCTAAGGGTCTTCTAGTACTAACGATATCCGGCCTCGTAACCGTACTATTGCCTTATTCGTCAGGCCTTATATAGGCTCGGGTCTATTGAGGTATCGAGGAACGATCAAGGTAAGGAGTGCTTAGTGATAGAAGTACCGAAGGTGCTTCACCACTAAAGGGGTTATCTTGAGAGGATCACAGTGTAAACGAGACAATCTGAGTTGAACTAGTAACTGAGGTTGATAATATAAGTTGAACGCGAAGAGCTAGATACACGATAAATGAGTGTCCTTATATATCCTTCGCCGAATATTCCATGCCTTTGTTTGTGGTATACTATATATGGGTATATAGTAGTCCTACTAATATACTATCCGATATACTATTCCTTGGCAACGGATCGTGGTATATTACCACGTGACCCATACCCCTATTGTCTTGCATCATCACCGCGGGGTTGGTTGGCTCTGGTTTTCTCCTATACCCCTGCTGGCGCGAGTGAGGTGGCTTGGTTCGTAACAAATATATGGTTTGATGGCGTCATACCTACTATATAAAATAGAGGCATACCAAACCGATTAGTCTTATATATGCAATCCATAATAAAAACCTTAAAATATTAGCCAATAAAATCATATAAAAATAGATAAGATAAATACCTTATTATATGAATTAGCCAATTGAATTGACTAAGGATGAGAGAAAAGAAAAAATTCGATATACCCCATATTATCTTACTTGAATGAATATTTATAACCTTCTAAATCGAGTAGTATCTATAGATATTCAAGAATACTACGTTCTCCTATCTCTTTTCGTCGAATTTCTGCTCGCATATTATAGACATCGCGTGGTATAATTCGTTGACGAGGGGACTCGCTATATAGCGCACCAATAATATGCTTCGGTCTAATAGCAGAGAGTCGTTGAATTAAGGTTTTCTGCGCTGGGGTAAATTGACGTACGATTAGGTGCGCTATCATATCTTGATCAGCAGAATGATTATGCGCGGGGTTCTTTACCTAAAGTAGCCAATCAGAACTCCTCTAGCGACTCCCATATACCAAAAATAGACAATTTTGCCGCCGAGTACTCGTTTTGCGCCTTTTGGCGCCTGCAGGCGCTTGTATTCGGTCCGAATATACCCCAGATCTATCGCAGTGGAGATAGACTTGCCTATCAGCATTGGACCGCTTGATAGTAGTAGCATACCCCTGCGCTATACCCCATTGGCGCATAAAATCGACCAATTCATCCCGATTAGGGAAGGTTCGTTGTGGTGGGGGCAGCAGATCGGTAGTGGCAGCGGCAGGCGAATCAGCATGCGAATCGGCAGGCGAATCAGTAGGCGAATTGGCGAGGGGTCTAGTAGGCAAATCGACAGTCGAATTGCCAGTGGTGGCAGCAGAGATATCAGGGGGAGTAGCGGCAGTAGGGGTGCTGGGGGTAGGCATAGCGGGGTTGGTTTGCATGGTATGCATGATAGAGCAGACGAAGCAGATAGGGTATGCAGAAAGCGAAGAACTAGCAGGGTAGTAGTAGAAGAGAAAAAGAGATGAAGCAGAATATTGAGTAGATATGCAGTATATAGTTGCTATAGTGATGAAAATTGATTATATCAGCGATTTTGCTTATGTCAGAAAATGAGGTGTCAATAGCGAAAATCTTGAGGTGCCCCTATCAATACCCTAGTTAATTGGCTAACTTACGTAATGGGAGTGTCCCAAGTTTGAGAGAATCGGGAAGCACAATGCGTTCCTATTGGGCAACTGCTACTCTCATACTAGAGCTGACTAAGTCGGGACGCTAAACCCGAAGGGGAAGGGGAGAATCCTAACAAAGTTAACAGAAGTTGAGTCAGTCCCCATGACATTTCTTCTCCCATCTAACTCACGCGTCTCCCTAAGACCAGGAGCATGTAAGCAATCCAACCCGCCACAACCGCCAATGAAATTTAATCCCCTAGACTGCAGACTGACGTGTATCAGCATGTACGACCTCGTCATAGTTGGTCATGGCATTGCTGGCCTAACCGCCGCCATATCCGCGGCAGAACTCATGCCCTCGGCGCAGATTGCCGTGCTGGAGCGTGCACCCGAGCATGCCAGCGGCGGAAACTCGAGGTGGAGCCCTGCCAACATGCGAATGCGATCAGTCAATGAGGTACTACCAAGCTTCGTGGACGACATGATGGCTGCAAGTGGCGGCGGTACCGACCGCGTCTATTTCGAAAAGCTGGCTAGCCAGGCACCCGAAGCCCTCCAATGGCTCGAAAGGCAAGGGGTGCAGTTCCACGCCATGGACTATTTTTTGAAGTCCTGGCCAAATAGGATCCAGCCCATCGGCAAAGGTGCTGCCATTGTCGAAGCACTCAAGCAATCTGCCAAATCGAAGGGTGTCCGACTCGTCTATGAATGCCGCGCCCAGCGACTTCATCTTGGCGAAGAAGAGGCCGTAGTTGAGGCAACTGACCAGCGCCGATTCATCGCCCGATCTATTGTGCTCGCCAGCGGTGGATTCCAAGGCAATCCGGACATGCTGCGTACCCATCTCGGACCCGGTGCCGAGACGTTGCGGCCGATATCACCGGGGACGGCTTGGAACGCTGGCGACGGCATCCAAATGGCGCTGGATAACGGGGCTAGGGTCTCTGGCAACTGGAATGGAATGCATAGCGAAATAATCGACCCGCGCAGCGATAAACCGGCGCCGTTGGTCCTCATCTATCCGTATGGCGTGGTGGTGAATCGGGATGGAAATCGGTTCATCGATGAAGGCGCAGGGCTCGTACATGACACGTGGGAGCGTCTCTCTAGAACCATCCATTTTGATGCACCAGGCCGGTCAGCCTGGGCGGTGTGTGATTCCAGAGTTTTCCAAGTGGAAGGCTATGAAGCAGCCATCCGCTCGGACTGTCCGCCGGTGACGGCGAACACGATTTCTGGCCTGGCAGCACGGATAGGGGTGCCGGAACAGGCGCTCCTAGACACAATCTCAAGCTACAACATAGCCTGTAGCGCAGACATATCTCGCTTTTCAGCTAGCAGCCTTGATAGCCTTGCCACCACCCCAGGCTTAGAACCCCCGAAATCGAACTGGGCTCGGCCGCTCGACACGCCACCATATACAGCATTCCCGCTGGCTGCTGCTATTGTCTACACTTTTGGCGGCCTTGCGACTGATACGGAAGCGCGCGTTCTTGGCCCGCAAGGCGCCATTCCTAATCTATATGCCGCAGGTGAGATTACGGGCCATTTCTGCGACATGGCGCCAAATGCAGTGGCCGTTTTGCGGGCACTCGTTTTTGGACGTATTGCTGGCCTCAACGCCATAAGCCCCAGTTAGACAGTGAGCAGGAACTGGCGACTGAGATGTAGTATCCCGCCGGTGGACACGCCAGAGCTTTCATACTAAATCAAGCGGAACCTAGAGTTATCTATCACCCAGAGAATAAATTCCAAAGCTGCAATTCAACACCAATAAAAGAATGATCTACTAAACTGATAGTTCAAATTTAGGTTATAATGCGCCACTTCAATATATCGGTGGCTTGGCACATTTAAGATGCTAGACCCCAATGTTTATCTCTTACGTAGTAAGGTAGGTGTAAATCAAGTTACGGCACAATTGAGTAGTAGTACGTAGTTTCTGCCATTGGTGTCTGATATGCATATGGCGAGCGACAATGACCAACAGCATGAGTCCGCCACGGAGCTAGATACTATTTCAAGCAAAAGCTGACAAGCATCAAATGGTTCTCAAATTTATCTTCCGTTAATATATGGTGTCAGATCGAGACAAGGCACGAATTTCGTGGTTCATGACCTCACCATAAAGATCGGTGCGACAAGAACGGGCCGTGATCCACTGTGATACCAGGATGTGATTGGCTCGCAGGGAATGTCCCAAGAAGGAATAGGACCGACCATCCCTATTTCTCGGTCTACTTAAAACCTTGTTTTAAGTGGCAGCATGATGCAAAATCCCTCAAACGGATAAGACGGCACTAATTCGCGGTCAGATGAAGATCTGCGATCTGGGAGACATAAGCTCTTATTTATATTGTAACGAAGTTCTCATTAATAGACACCTCCTATTGACAACTTATTTCGCGTTACAATCGCAAAGTTTACAGTGAGTTGCTATCATGCCTTCAAACCGTTTTTTGAAATATCTAGGACAGGTGGGACATAGTTAATATCTTGTTACTTAGCGCTCTAAATATGACGGAGAAAAAGGAGAGTGAGGTCCCTGCCTGCTTTACCGATACCCATGGCGTGGTCACAACCACTATGAATGATCTGCCTGGGTACAAAATTAAGAATGTTCTTGGCACAGTATATGGAATTACCGTTCGCTCAAGGAACTAGGGGGCAGATCTGGGTGCTCTTGCACGTTCCGCTGTCGGGGGCGAGCTGCGATTTTTCACTAAGTTGATGTATACTTCTCGCGAAGAAGCTTTGGAACGTCTAGTGGGAGAGTGTATGAGCAGAGGTGGTAATGCAATCATTGCGCTCAGATTTGATGTCTCGAGTCTGAGGGTCTGTTCAGAGATATGTGCGTATGGCACTGCCTGTCAAGTTGAGAGGATTGAAGAGGAAAAGTGAGTCTCGACTTTGTAGGAAGTGTTTATTTATCTATAAGCAAAATCCGAGGGAGGATAGGTTGAAAAAGAACAACTACAGGAGATAGCTAGATGAGAATTTCCACGTGGAGCGATGTAATGTAATCTATGAGTAGCCTTATTTATTAAATCTTCTAGCTATTCGCACCTTTAGGCTGCATGTAGCCTCCGGTGCTAGTGGTGCCAAGTAATCTATGTACACATGCTCGTCCTTCTCACGGTCTTTTTAGTCTCTCCGTAATCTTTTTGTCGCCATGTCAAATTGGCTGACGGATGTGACAACCTCCATCGCTTGGTGTCCAACTATGTTGGGGGTCCATTTCCTGTTCGGTAGCTCCTTAGAGTGCGCTTCTTCCACCTAGTGCGAGAGACGCGTGATCAGCCTCCCATTATCGTTCTTCACTCAAAACGATGTGCTTCCCACATTCTGCAGTCATATAGAAAGTGGTTAATTGATTCAGGCCCTTCCTAGTAGTCACAAGTGTCATCTAGACAGTGTCAAATCTGATATAGGTATCGGTTCAAGCGGGAATGACCAGTTCATACTGTAACCTAAAATCACGGGGCGGAGTCTTAACTCCGTGCTGTCTTAGCACCCACGTATTGCCCAACACGCAAAAGACCATGATTTTCTCATGAAAAAAAGCCCAGTTTGCCGCCGGTGTCCCGCCCTGAAACCTCCTTCCAGTGGCAGGCAACGCCAACAACGCTGCTCAGCGAATGATTCCCACGCCTGACTGACGGCCACCATCGCAAGTCCGCGAGGCCATCCGCAAAGGAACAGCACGGGCCTACGCCCTGCAACACTGTTTCAGTTCCCTTAACCTCTGTATATACTGGGATTGGCCTAGTGAGGGTCGCTGTAGCAAAAGTCCTGCGACACTGGTTCCATTGTTGCAGTGGAAACTAAGGGCCGACCGACTCTCTTTGCGACATAGTTTCGGGTCGAGCCTGACCACTTCCTGAACCCTGTTTTCTTTCCCCGCTCTTCCCCCATTACCATATAACAGTTATCTGGAGGCCTGTATACATGTACCAGGCGCCTCAGCTCTCACCTGGCTTCAACTTTACGTCCAGACCACTTCACGGTTTTCTGGTCATGACGCCCCATAGTTTGGACTCTAATCGAGCTTATGATTGGTTTACAGGAAGATAGATGACTTTAGTCAGCTCCCTGGAAGCGTGAGTCACAGTGAGGATCGATTTCATTGGCTTATCAGCCTACTAAAAAGGTGGGTCCCGCAGTGGCCCCCTATTCGATGGTCTTATCGCGCCGCCTGTGCGGCGTTGGGGTGAGCTGAGGAAAATCCATTATGCGGGGTGTTTGAACAAGAACAGTGGAGGCAGTGCGATCGTCTGCTCGTCAACCCGTCAGATCCATCACCGCTAGAGCGACTTGCACGAAAGTATACGTGGAAAGACTATTCGCCGTACGATTTACATCTTCAAAGCCTCAGACCGGGGCAATGTTTCCGTGCGGCCACAACGGATGGCAGGAATGCCATCTTCATGATTTCTGAGCATGAAGAGCAGGAACTTATCACCGCAGGGCGACTCACCAAGGAGAGGCAACTGCTCGCAATGGCCTTCTATAGATTGAACATAAGAATACCTTAAATTTCTCTAATCGCCATATCGTCGACCCAATTAAGGAAAGATTCTTTAGACTCTTCATCCATGTACTCTACTTTTGGACCAGCAAAGACAAGACTTGCTTCCTGGCCTATTGCCCAGATATCACTCACGTCATTGACGACGACCCTTTCTCCATCTATCCAAATGAAGCAGTAGTCACGGTCTGCCAGTAGGCTCATGACTTCCTCGAAAACCCATCTCTGTCCAGAGATCTGTCGGAACTTGATATATGTTGCGTCGTTCCACAAGAAAACAACAATTAGGTCTGGTGCTGACAAGAATATCTTCGCCGCATCTGATGGTCGAATAGAGCTATCTAGGGAGTGAAAAACGTTCATCGTTTTGGCTAGCGATCGTTCGAAGCCTGGTGCTAAAGGGTCCAGTCCGAATTGCGAGTGTATCGTGTCGCATTTGGCTTCTACCTGGGGGCTTTCAGAACGCTGACTGCGCGGCCATATGGCTGCTTCGATAGATCTTAAGTATTGCGGAAAATCTGACATAGGACGACTCGGGCATTCGGAATGGTAGGCTTCGTAGTTACTCGACCCAACTGGAGAGGTAGCAGTCCTAGCCTCAGAGATAGAATTTGCATCATCTGGTGTAGTTAAGGGGACAGAGCCATGAACCCTACTTGGTTGACAAAGGTCACCCCTGCCAACCGAATTCCCATTCCCATTTGAAAAAGAGTATGCTGCTTCATGGGAACTCGGATCACGTCTGTCGTCACTTCCACCTAGAGGGGACTCATAGATAGGTGATAATCGTGGGAGCGTCATTGTGCCAAAATAGGAAACGAATATATCACGTTGGAATGCCAATGAGGTTAAATAGGAGCGCGGATTAGGGTTATAGTTGTAGATCATATCAAGATAGAGGTGCTCTCGGCTATTCTTGTAAGACTAGTTGTCTAGTATCCCGGATCGGAATTACTTAGGAATATTGTTAAGCTAGCTTAAGAATTCAGGATATAAATTCCCTAACAAAGGAGTAGCCAGAAGCTTTAGTTCTCCTATAATATATCGTGAGAGGACGAAAGTATATCGTTCGTCTATCTTATATCGGTCTAATAGTCGGGACCGACGTAAAAATAATCTAACAGCTGTAAGGTCGGGATCCGTAGCGATAAGATGGTCGATTTCCTCTAACTTGAAACCGATCTTAATAGCAAGCTAGGCAAGATATAATAGGCGTTTATCCGGTGAGCCTCCGATAGAAGGCTTCTCTTCCCCCCTAGACTTACGAGGTGCGGTCTAACTAAGGACTAGGAAATCCTTTATAGCAGCAAGAAATATTATTAAGTACGATAACCATTTTTGCTGGTCCGAAGTACTACGTTTAATTCGGTACCTATTAGACATGGACAGACCCGTCCCATGGGTCAAAGATCTTGACCCATGACCCAAACCCACGACCCATGGGTCGGGTCAATAAAATCCTGACCCGCCCATAGGTTGACCCGTGGGTTAATAGGTTAACCTATTTTTGACCTATTTTAGCATAAATTTCTTAATTAGAATAGATAATTTGCTTACCTTTTTTAATAATATACTATTGTTAAATACTGTTTTTGTTCTAATATAACTTATAATTCTAACTCTTTATAAAAAGAATATTATATAGTAATAATATATTTAGAATATATAATATATTAATTTATTAATTTAATACTTTAAGATAAGAATTATATTTTATAATAGATAGATATAGGCGAAAGAAGATATTAGTTAACTATTTCTTATACTAAACCTAAAAATATATATTTAAAGTCTATAGTAGTACTTCTACTTTTTATATAAATAAACTATATATATTAGAAATAATAAAATAGATATAAATCTAATATCTAATATTTCTTTATTAATATATAAGTATATTATAGTCTTATTTATATAAAAGAATTATTTTAAATATTTTTTCTGAATTTATATAAAATAATAATATTAGCTGGTTAGGTTGAAATTTTTTAGGGATAAAAAAAAATCTTAGGATATTACTCTTACCTAATTATTTAGGTCAATAGGTTAGCCTATAGGTTGACCCGTTAATCTATTTCTTACTATCTAATAAACTTTGTATATATTAGTAG